GAGTAGTAGAAGTTTTAATCCCCCGAACAAACATATTCAGTGCTGACCAGATGGCAATGTTTGGTATTTCAATGACATGTTTTCCTTACATGTTGGAAAAAATGTTCACAGAAAATATTTTTTAAAGGAAACTATTAGGGTTGGATTTCTCCCCTAGTCTCAATTACCTTGTAGAGCTTTAATCAATTTTATTCTCAAATTCTAATCATACTTCAACAGCCTTGTAACATTTTCTCTCTCCATTCACAGTCCTAGTTTGTGACAAATTGCTCAGTCCAATGTAAGTATTCATTAACAACATCAATTAAGTCAGATAAAATTATTAATGGATCAAAATTTAAATAAATTACACTTAGAAAAAAGCAGCTCCAAACAGTCACAGTCATTTATCTATGGTGCACTTTAAAACTGGGGCCATACACTCTACTACCCTAATACCATCTATTAGCACATCAGCAGAGAATTGCCAGAAGTCCAGGGTCATGGTACTAGGGATATTGTAGCTGATGTTAGATGGATCTTAGCTGAAGGCAGGGAATACCAGAAGAATGTCTATCTGTGTTTCATTGATTATGGAAAGGCATTTGACTATGTGGATCATAATAAACTGTGGCTGACTCTAAGAATGGGAATCCCAGAACATTTAATTGTGCTAATGTGAAACCTATACTTGGACCAAGAAGCAGTTGTCAGAACAGAGCAGGGTAACACTGCATGGTTCAAAATTGGGAAGGGTGTACGCCAGGGATCTGTCCTGTCTCCATACCTAGTTCTTTGCACATTTCATTATGGTACTTTGTTTTGTCTTCCTGAGCTGCCCTTTGAAATCTTCTGCTCAGCTCCTTCCTGGTTTCTGCCATTTCCTCTGACTGCTCAGTGTTCTAGTAAAATATTGAGAATCTGTTTCAACATCCACCTGGGTCGTCTTCCTCCTTTGTCTTAATATTGACCTTTTGCATTCTTCATGGATACTATTCTTGATATTCTCCCATAGCTCATCTGCCCTTTGCTCATTAGTTTCAAGGCCTCAAATCTATTCCTGAGATGGCTTTTTAATTCAGGTGAGATAGATTCAGGGTCAAATTTTGGTTCTTGATTTGATTTCATTTTCTTTAGCTTCAGTCTGAAACTGCCCCAGCCTTGTTTCCACAGCTAATACTGAGCTTTTCCAACAATTCTTTCCACAGATCTAGTGAATCTGATTCCTATGCAGAACATCAGGTGAGGCCCATGTATGTAGTTGTCATTTATGTTTCTTATAAAGGGTATTTGCTATGAACAAATCATTGACTGTATAAAAGTATCATTTTTATCTCCAACCTCATTTCTGTCACCAAGCCCACATTTTTCAACTATTGATTCATCTTCTCTGTTCCCAACAGTTCATACCCATTTACATTTTTATAAATAATATCTAAAAGATCAGGAGGAGATAGAAGGACCAAACATGGATTTGAAGACCTCAAGGAATAGTGGCTCCTCAAATTAAGTAAAAGTTCTGGATAAAAGACTAATGATTAATTAAGATGTAAGAAAGATGACTTATATAGAAAGGAGACCTCACCAAGGTAAAAATTTGAGTAGGTAAGAGAAGTAGGAAGTGGCTAAACTGAAAATATATACAGAAGAAAGATGGTTGAAGATTCATTTTATGATTTGAGATGCAAATGACAGCTCAGCCAGTTTCTGGAAGAGGTGGTAAGTGGCTCCTTTACAACTACAGCTACAACTCAACAGTGAATAGGAAGAATGAGACTGTCACAGTCCAGTTACCAGAAATAAGGAGAAAGGTGCAGTTGGTGGTTTCATGGAGAGAAGCTGCAATGTAGGGAAAACTGGTAAAGTATAGGCATTATCATAAATTCATTAAAAGGAAATTGGGAGAGGAGGAAAGAGTGTGGTAACTAATTTATGCTTTAACACACACACACACTACAGAGATTGTGTAGGACAGTTTTCTGTTACTCTTTTTTATATTTTCTATAAATTATTGATTTGAGTCTTCCTTCTCCTTCCCACCATTTCAGCTTACTCCTAATACATCCACATAGCCTTGTTTTTAAATAAATGTCTCTATGAAATAAATTTTAAATCCTTGAACGTGATCACAAGCTTTCAAATTTTCAATCCACAGTAAGAAACACATTTTACATCTAGAGCCAGCAGATACATAAAACCATATATTTATACAACAGACAAAATTCCTCAAAATATGTAACCTTATAGTAGGTTAATCTTCCCGCTTCTGCCTCTTTGTACTTTATATACTGATAGTAGTAGAGAGTATTGCAGGGTTTGGCTAATAAGAGGTTTCTGAGATGAGATGGACTTCTTCAATAAAGCTTTGTAGACTCAGGAACCAGGTCACCTTGAATCAAAACAGTGGGTGTAACAAAATATCATGACCTTGTTGTTGGTGTTAGTAGCCCTCAACTGGAGCACAACTCATAATGATCTCATGAACAACAGATCCTATCATGAACCCAGTCCTATCCTGTACCATCCACACAATATCAGGACCTAACAGGTCACAACTCACTGAATGAAAGACATAGTAGATAAGATTCCTTTTCCCAATTAGCAAGATAAGTAGCAGCCAAGATAGCCTGGATTCAAACAAGCTCAACCAATCTCCCTCTATTTTCTCAGGGTATAAACCAAGCGTTGAGGAATAAGACAATCCACAGAAAGCACTTAACACAAAAATAATTCAATTACAGTTATTAATTTTTAAACGGTCAATAGACTTCTTTTTCTTCAACTTTATTATGGTAAAATATATCATTCACCATCAGTACAATCACGTAGTACAACCATTACCACTCTTCCCAGAGCATTTTCATTATCCCTAAAGGAAAGCCGACATCCACTAAGCTGTTGTTATGTACCATCAAGTCAGAACTGACTCATAGCTGACACACCAGTGGGTTTTCAGAAGCTGTAAATTACATGAGAGGATATTGCCCATCTTTCTCTTATGGATCAGCTGGTGGATTTGAACCGCCTGTCTTTAGCAACAAAACTTCTTACCACTAAACGACCAGGACTCTCCTCCTGGCAACTACTTTTCTATCTCCAGATCCATGAACATTTTCAATTACCATCTGACCACAAAGTTTGCCAGGGTGGCATCAGTGTTCTTTGGAGTCAGTTCTCCTTGCCTGAGTCATGACTTATGAGACAAACGTCACATAACCACTTCTCACAAGTCAATCTGTGAGTCACTTTAGGCAATTCTACTTGTTGCGCTGCTGACCCAAAGGCTGGGCTCCTCTATGGGTTAGAATCCACCAGTAGCTCTGAGAGACATTAAGAGGTACAGCCTTGCAAACTTAACAGGGGTTGTTAAGAGCTCTAATTGATTCCAGGGCAATGAGGTCAGAAAGCTCTTCCTTCAGGAGTCACGCCAGGAGACCATCCTTCTCTGAATTCTGTTAGGGCAAAGTTCCCAAGGCTGCCTGGCCAAGGTTGCAGGTCAAGAGACCTTATTCTGTGACTCCAAGCACAGAATGAGTGAGGCCAAAAGAGAAAATGTCTCTTCAATATATTTTGGAGTCCCTCACTCTCACACACAGCCCTGCCCAAAAAACTCCATTTTGCGGCTCTAAACTTTCATCATAAAAATATAAAAAGGTATAATGTGCACTAGACACAGGAGAAATCCATTTCTTAGATGTAGGACTCAGTATCTTTTTTCCTTTTGAGGTCCCACCCATCGCACAAACAGGTTTCCCGCCCTTCCTGAATGTGCAAGTCTGGGCAAAAATAACTTTCTTCCCAGATTTATCCAGTAGAGTCACTTGACCCACAACCATTAGGGGAAATGACAGCGGCAGGGGTGGAGGTAGGGGGAGGTGGCCATACCTGGCCAAACAGCACTGCTATTCTTTGATACTGAAAATAGGAAATCCTGAGCCAGAAAAATGTCACCAAGAGTCAGAGAATATTAACTAGAAGGTAGCGTCAGAAGCTGCAGCCCTTTAAAAAAAAAAAAAAAAAAAGACAAGAAAAGAAGACGACTCCTCACCAAGCAATAAAGCAGCGTAAGTCCTCAGTTGTTTTCCATGTCTGCATTACCTCTCCCACTCCCCCTGCTTTCTAGATCCCAGGACGGAAAGTTCAGCCAGATTCAAGAGAGGACTGCCCTCAGCCAACCTTGCTTATTCAGGGCGGCAGGTGGAACAGAAGGATGAAGGTGAAGGTTCAAGGGACGTATTAAAGAGACCAAAGCCGCTAGGAGGAGCCCCCTGATTATTTTGGAGTTAAGGGGATGGGACTAAAGATTAAGCAGCAGATGAGACCTAGAAATCTTACACACCTTGAACTTTGGCAAACACACGCCCTTGGTCACGTCAAATACTGGGCAGACCCTGAACTGGAGGGGACTCGAGCTAAACAATTCGAGCTCTCCGCAGATAACAAGATCCCTGTCTCTCAAACAAATCAGGAAGAATGCGATTTTGGGAACTTGAAACGATGGACCATTGCAAAATTACTCCCAAATAAATGAGATCCCAAGAGAAGGAAGACGTAGGAAGCCGTCACTTCAGCAAGACCCAGATGTCCTGTATTTCGGGCTAGTCTGGGACCTCCACGTAACTCAAGTATCCCCGATCCACTCACCCACCCCGACCTGGTGCTCTGGGGTTTGGGATTCCAGGCTCCCCCCTGGCTGGACGCTCAGCAGTGAGGGGTTCCAGGCCCCCCCTCCGGAGAGCTCAGAGACTTCCCAGTGTTGGAGGTAGAGGGTGCATGCAGGCTACGGGGAGGACACTGGGAGCAGGGCTGAAGTGAGCCCCTGGGCACACAGGATACCCCATGCCCTCTCGTCCGCCCGCCCGGAAGTAGTCCTAGGACTCAGGGCAGAGTTCAGATGTGGCATCACTTGTCCCACAGCCAAGAGTAAAGCAACTCGGGAAACTCCCAGGACCGGCGCGCGCTTCCCTCAGTCCGTTCCTCCGTGCCCGGGAAGTCCCCGTGGCCAGGAGGGCAACACTGACCTGAGATGGTCTCCCGGTAGCCCTTGGTGAAGAACTGCATGGCCGTGGCCGCCCTCCACGGCGTCTTGAGCAGCCCTTGCCGCTGGGGGTCCTCGCCCAGCGAGCGCAGGATGGACGAGTAGGCAGCTGCCAGGTTGGGGAGGTTCAGCTCGTTATCCTCCTCCTTCTGGGGCCGCTCATCCTTCCAGGAGTCGGCGGTCTGCGAGCTCTTAGCCTTGAGTTGTGGGGACATCTCCACTGGCCGACTCGGTTCTGACCGCGGTGGTTCTAGCTCGGGAAACCCATTGCTGCACCTGGCTCCTGGTGGCTTCTCCATGGACCTGCAGCTCGAGAGGGACGCGAGGGTGCCTGAAAGGCTGCAAGTAAACTTCCTGGTGGCCACGGAGAGCAGAGAGTGGGCTGTGGCCAGTCACCTGAGGACGCGATGAGTACAGGTCAACAGTAGAACAGGAGCCCAAGGCGGATGCTGGTTGGAAAGCCGGGCAGCGCTGCTCTTTTATAGCGGTAGCGCCCCACCGGCACCGTGCGCGTTCCCATTGGCGAGGAGCGCTTGCGTCACGGCGCTCGCTCCGCCCTGGCACCGCCTCCCGCCTGGCGCCCGAGACTGGGGTCTGCCCCTCAGGGGCGCTTAGGTACGCACCCTCCCGCAGGAGTGCAAGGAGGGTCTGGCTCTTTGGAGGCAACAGGCTCCATGGTCATCCTTAGACCCCAAGGATATCATCAAAAAAACAGAAGCCGAAACGAGGCAGGTTGGTGTCTGGAATCGCCAAGGGAAGAGATAACTATCTGGACATCCAGGCTGAGCCAGTGGCTGCCCTGAGCACATCCCTGGCTAGCCGCTCCTCCTCCTAGGCGCTGCCTCAATAATGCTCAGACCCCTTCCAATGAAAAATGAGGAAACAGGTAGCCTCCACACCCAGGGACCCAGTTAAGCAGTTGATAACTCATTCTTGTGCTCCGCCCCCCAATACATTGTTTTATTAATATACATTTTTATACAATCATTTCTGTTGTTGTTGATTGTCTTCAAGTCGAGCACGATTCATAGCAACCCTATGAACAAAAGGCCTGAAGCCTTTCTGTAACTATCGACATTCATCAAAGTTCATAGTTTCCGGAGTCATTTTGTTTTATATCAATTGCTATTGATCTGTTACTTTTTAAAAAGATTTTTTTTCTTTTTTAAATTTTATGCCGATTTACATACAAAGTTCATAAAATTTGTATACGTTGTTTTTCACACCAGATCTTTTCCCTTTCGTTTTCCCGTCCTTCGTTCCACCCATCAAGTTGTGTGGCCTTATGATTAAGCTCCCGTCTCCCCTCCCTAGATCCTTATATTCGTTCTACAATACAGTATCTGTCCTTATGAGACTGAGTTAGTTCACCTAGAGATTAATATGATGTGAAGACCTGCGATATTTGTCAATTAAAAATACATCTAATACGCCTGCCAACTGCTAACCCTCTGGACTAGTGCTTCTAGAAATGCTTCTGTGAGCGAACATTTAGGAGGAGAGTATTTCCAGTGGCTCAAACTTTGGTCCTGGAGAAAATGATTTCTAGATGGGGTCTGGAAGGAGAAACTTTCATTTAAAACTGTTGGTGTTTTGCAGCAATGAAGTTGTTGAAATTTCGCACTTGATTATTTTAGACTGACGTGTTAAATTCTTTTCCCTGGATGTTGGTACAAATTGTGAAATGTTATTGATCTTCTGGACTCTTAACCAAGGGCATTTGCCTTAGCTGTTGTCGGTCAAAAAGTTGGATTTTTGCCACTCTGGTGCTCTGAAACCACCACCAGCTCCAAAGGGGAAAGATGAGCCTCCTCTTTGCATATAATTTACAGCCTTTGAAAACTCACTGAAGAGACAACCGATTCTGCTCAATGGTATGAGTGTGAGTGAGATATAAGCACTTAGTGGCAAAATAGAGATTATTAGTAAGAGTGGTTATAAGGAGGGTGAAAGGGAGAGGCAGGAATGAGTGAAAATAGAAAAACTAGGAGCATCACCAGCCAGAAACTGTGACAATATCCATGTTTCTAAATCAGTGACAGTCCCATTTTCAAGGTGGAATCAATCTGGGAGTTACTCTTTCTATCAGAAAACAATGGAATTTTATAAAATTCTTATTTCTAAAGAAATAGTAAAACAGAGATGCAGATGAGGGAAACAAAAGAAACTTGATGGGGTACTAGGTAAATTAACATTTGGCAGTTAGGCAATGGTGATTTGAAAAACACACGTCGTTAAGCGCATTTGGTGAAAGTTCTGAACTGAAATTCAAACTTTGGAAACTCTTCTGAATCAAGATGACAAAGCAAGTAAGAAAAGCTTCCCTATCCCACCACTAGGTCCCAGAAGCAGGACTGTGGAGTTGGTGGAACCCTGACATATCTCACTAAATCTCACATCTAGCATGAAAGAAGGAAACTGAATGAAGTCCTCTTCTCTTCTCTTCTCTTCTCTTCTCTTCTCTTCTCTTCTCTTCTCTTCTCTTCTCTTCTCTTCTCTTCTCTTCTCTT